AAGATTGATCGAGACCATAAGAGAGCTCCAAAAACTTTTGTAGTTATGTAGCTTCATATCTTACCATGGTATGCGTACGACTTCAGCTGGTTGCTAGGCGCGAGATCAGCGTGGAACTTCACTTTGGCCACCCATTCAAGCATTTGTCGCTCATCGCTGCAGGCAAAATATGTACTCGGCACCGTCCTGAGTTGCCAACCTGAACGACACGTGTTCTTTCGCACAATGTATAACGATCACATGTAAACCAAAACTGATTTGGTTCCCATAAAGTTGAAAAAGAAGTGCAAAAATAGGGAAATATACCTGAAAGCATGCTTTCGCTTGACGTATTCCGGGAACGGTTCACATCGTGCACCGTAAATGTATACAGGTGGTGCGGCGGCAATGTTCTCGTAGAATGAGGACTCGTCCTGAAGACATAATGTGCAAATCCAGAAGTTTATTTTCGATACAGTACACGGCAGCATGGTTTAATACTGACCTTGAAGAAACACATTAGCTGCCCGCATAGGATGGTATAATAATTTTTCCATGACCGTATCGTCGCTCGTTTACTTCCACTTTGCAGGTCCTGTTTTCGGTCAACGAAGCTGAAAAGAAAAAAGTTAGGTAGCAGCGAACAAAATCTAAACCTCACACTAACCCTCTCATATCAATGGCACCCAAGTCTTCCCAACGGCTTGTGCTGTTCCGGGAAACAGAGTGACCACGTCTGGTGGTGAACGATGGAGTCTTCCTCATATCGACATCACCGGCCGAAATGTGCGACGCATTCACGGCTGAGGCGACAACCGTCGATGGTCCTCCTACCACCACCGAATCACCTTTAACATGCACACTAATGATCTTGAGCGTTTTCACACATAATTAATAACTGAGCTCCATTGTGCTTCAGATTCAAACGTACCAACTGTCGTCGTTTTGCTTCGTTCTGCTCTATCTATTTTTCTCGGCAATGTTGAGCTTGAAAAATCATCGTTCGAACTTGGTCGAAGAAGGGAGATCTCCTGAAGTAGCACCCTTTGACCAACTCTTTTTTTGATGACGTCACAACAAGGAGAAGATGAAATCGATGTCAAATAGGGTATGATGAATAAAACTGTTCGGCGGAAACAACAGATCTTCTAATGAGCATGGAAACTGCTCGAAAATTGCCTTGCTACGCAATAGATCTCATCCAGAAAACATGCCTGCGTCTTTCTTCGTTCTCTCTCCTGGCGTCGGTTGGCAAGAATTTGTCCCTTTTCAACAACCTTGATTGTATCGACGACGCCTTTGGTCCTCCTCAGCAATACGAGATCGCTCAACCTAAATCGCACCACCACTCGTACTTGTAACCACTTTAACAGCGGGACTGCTTGGAGACAAACCTCCTTTCTTCTGAGCCGACTAAAGCTTTGTTCAATGAGGGTGAGACGTTTCACCATTTCACAACGATCTCCCTGCGCATCCAAGGTTACTAAGAAGTCGTCGAAGTCACGAAGATTAGCTTCAGCATTCTCAACTGATTCGATGTGGCGCCAGTCGTCACCTAAGGAGTTATATTGTTCACAAGTTTCAGAAATTATGTCAAATATCCAATCATTTTATATGATAAATAGTCAACTAAGCGAAAAAGGACGTACCAAGGAGCCGCTCGCGTTCAAGCAACCACTGCTCGAGCTGGGCAGCATTCTGTTTCCATCTTTGGCAATCAAGATTTTCGTTGTACAGCTCATTACGCGTCCTTCCAAACTTCGCAATAGCACAGCCCAAGAGCGTTCAAGATTCTCAACCTGAACACGATGATAAAAAGAAATATCATGCTTAAATAACAAAAAAGTGAAAAAAACCTCTCGCCCTCCTATCTCCTTTACATAAACTTGCTTTTTTCTTTTCTCGCTATGACACATTTGAATTATCTTTCAAAAGTATTCCATGGTCAATCTACGAAAAATATGAGAAACTCCGAACACTGTACCTTTTCATTGATCTCTTGTGACAACACATGCCCTCCTTGGATCATGTGTTTACCTTGACGAGTGAATTCATCGATATGCGGCTTACGGCCTTGCATCTGAAAATGCAAAGCTCATTCATTACACGCATCAAGGAGAGAGAGTCAATCTGAGGAACACCCAGGTTTACAAGCAAAAATGATCGAAAGTAATCTTTCAATTTCGCGACAAAAAAAAATTCCCCGCGCACTCATGTTGTATCATCATGAGCGTCGCGCCAAAGCTTCATCCAATTGACATCCCACGTGGGAAGGTGTCGAAGTCATCGCTGTCTGCATTCGGCCTGTCCATTGATTAGTTCACGGTACTCCTGCAATGAAATTAAACCTGCAACAGTCCATAACAAACGCGTCAAGTAACGCTTCAATAAATGTATAAGGCTAACCTGGAAGTAGGACTGCAGACTTTCCATTTGCTGAAGTCGTTCATGGTGTCTTCGCGTTCCTTCGAGGATATCCTTCAGCTGTTCTTCCATATCCATTTTGCGCACTTCGAGGTGTTCACGGGTATTGGGGAATGCAGTCCACAATCTTTCAGCTTCACGACACAGTTCGGCCACCTAAGAAAAATGATTACAGTACGATAGCTATCAAGCCAATTGGTATTTTTCGAGCCCACATTTCACAAGTAGAGGCCTAAGTACAAGCTCAATGTCTTACTTGACTTAGTACTTCGGATGGGTAAAAGAAACTTAAAGGTGCAAGAAAACGGGAAGCTCCATAATTGTGTTAACACGACCTGCTTCTCTACAGCTCGCATTCCATGTACGAACTCTTCATGCCGCTGCATTTGAATCTTTATAGTGGCGAGGTCGGCATGAGCCAGGTCTTCGTTTTCCATTGCAACTCCAGTCGCCTCTTTGTCCTATAATGACAATTAGATATGAAATAGTGAAGAAGGAAGCGTCACATGAACTCTTAAAACCACTATGTGCAAACCTGAAGCCAGTTGAGAGTTTCATCAGCTTCTTGATCAAATCTGTGCACTTGACGAGCACCAGCCAAAGCTTGCTGTCGCTCAGTAGCTGCCTCGTTGACGGATGTCCAGAGACTTTGCAGATCCGTTCCTTTAGCGCGGATTGATGCAGCATATGGATGCCCTTAGAAAAAGTGCATCCATTATGAAAAAGCGAATGATACGCAAAAAATCAGAAAATTCAATATTGTTGGGACCACTCTTTTAGAGCTCGGTAATTTCAAATCAGAAAATTCAATATTGTTGGGAACCACTCTTTTAGAGCTCGGTAATTTCAAAACAAAAAAGTTGTGCTTACCACTTCTCAGTAGCTCCTCCTGTGTTCGCTGGACACCAGCAACGCGTTCACCGGCAGCTGCCAGCTCCCTAACGACAGTTTCAAACTTCTCGGTAAGTTGCACGCAATCTTCTAGATCTCGACCGTAATCCTCGGAAGAAGCCAGCTGTAACGATAAGACATATTTGCTAAAGTGCATTCATCTGCTACGCTTTTTTTTTCCGCACACAATAGTTTGGATCAGATAATGGTAAGTTTGCAAGAGCATTTTAAACAATAAACCAAAACGTACGTGTTCTTTTTCATGGAGCCAATCGGACAGGTCATCGACTTGACGAACGAATCTATGATAACGACCTGCATCTACTAGCTGCGTACGCCTTCTATTGCATTCGTTCACTAGGTCAGAATATGCAGTCTCCAGCTTCGCCTGACGTGCAGCAATCTGAAAACAAATTACATCTCACGACTGCTTTCCAGAAATGAAGACCCTTTTTTCTCATTTAAAATCAAAATTTCCGAATCGTTATTTTAGTTTGTCACATGGCTGGATTAAGAGTACAGCTAGGAATTACCTGATTTGCATCCTGATGGTCCTGTAAGGAATCGCAGCGAGCACGTAATCTATCCAACTCCTTTTTTGAACTGAGCCACCTGCAAATTCAATCCATTTTATTTCTGCAGAATCACATTCGTAAAACTGTGGTGTTCTCACCTCCCTTATCCAGCACAGTTAACCGCCTTAGGTATCCTTCGGCCGACGCTTGGTCGCGACCGGTTTCCTGATTAATAGCGACAAGCATTTGATCCTAAAATTGAGCATAAGACACCGTACAAAGCAAGACGAAATTCACTCATAGGGAAGCAGCTTTCAGGAGCCAAACATTCACTATCGAAAGGGCGAAATCTCACTTTTATCCACTGTTCTGCCTCAGCCGCCTCTGTGTAGTACTCGTGGCTGTCCACAGCGTGCTGAAGTCGGGCTCGTCGAACGGAGGCAGCATCCTGAGATGTTTATTTGATGGAAAAATAAACAAGATTACATCAACCAATAGGCATACCTTGACTGACAACAACGCTGATGTAAGGCTGTCGATCATCTTTTCTATCTGAGGAGCGGCAAAGTGCTTCGCTCGCACCATTGCCAAACCCTTAGACTCGATTTCATGGATACCAGCCTAAACATTCACTATTTGCGTGAGCATGGGAGAATTTTTATGAAGAAAACTCACCTGACGCGATTCCAATTCTTTTTCCAATGCCATATGTTTCTTTTGCAGACTATGAGCAGCATGGAGACTGTCACCACACTCTTGGCTTTCGTGCCAGCGGCAGCCTATCCGCAAGCCATTCGAGCTCTTCTTCAGCACACGCCGTCCACTCGTACAATGCATGGGCATCACGCAAGTTTTCCCTTGAAAAATAGAGTCGGTTTTATAATTACAGTAAAAAATCATGATATCACTAGATCTTACCGTCTTATCAGTACTGGCTCATTGAGCGATGAGAACCTCGCATCTACTTGTTCAGCAGCGCACCAAGAATTGCATCCGACGTTGGTGACCCAAGTGTCTTGATCTCGCGTGCTTTCTGCATTAGATCATGTACAGCTTCGGCTCGTCCCTGAAAACAAAAAACATTCAGATTGTGTTTGGACTCAGCACTTGACGTCCAATGCATAATTCATTTTTAAGCTCTCCAAGTTGAAAAAAAAAACAACGGTCTCAAAAAACTCACTCGTATCTCGGCATCCAGAGCGTCCAACTTCTTCATAAGATGTTCAACAGAAACCAAATCGCGGCCGTGGTCATCAGAGCCTAGCTCGCTTTCAATCTTAAATACAACAAATAAAATACAATAAAAAAAGGCGAGGTGATGAAAACAAGCTCCACATGCTAATTAAATGAAGAAAACCATACAAGACAATACAGAGACAATTAGAATTCAACACTTACCCTATCAAGCCATCTCTCCATATCTTCGACCTTACGCTGCAGGGTGTGGGCTTCATATGCCTCGCGAAGTCGCTGCGTTTTCAGCGCGGACTTTGTGCGTAGTTCATCCCAACCACTTCGAAGTTCCCCAAGTTGAGCACGAACCTGGATTTTAGAGAAATAGGGAATTTATGCCAAGACATAAAATCATGTTAACTGACTTCTGCCAGACATTATACATACAGTTCAGTATACGGTATACAACAGTACACAACACCATATTTTAGTTCGATTCACTTAATTGTCACTCAATCATGACCTAACCAGCTGGACCAGTCGGACACAAAGGTCTTCCTTACCTGCTCACTCCATGAAATGCGCTCTGTTTATCAGGTTGTTCATCCTGTGCTTCAACAGGCGAACAATGACGTTTCGTTTTCCGTCAGCTCGGAATCAAATGCGAGATGCTTTTGAAGCTTGGCACGAAGGTTAGTAGGATCAAGATATGATTCATCGTAAGCAAGCTGGAACAAACCGATTAGAAGTAACAGACTATCGATGAACACTCGACGCAGGTCAAGATGACCGTAGATAAACTCCTCACTTGCAACTTGGCGTTGATCCAAGTAATCAATTCGCCACAGTTCTTATGAATCATGGTCACTTCTTACTATCACAAAGAAGTCCGCAGTTTAGTGTGGAATCGAGCACGCAGCATTGCGCTGCATACTTCTTCACATCTGAAGTATCACTCTACATTTCTTAGTTCGCGAACAAGTCTTCAAAATCTAAGGACCAACCTTGCTTCGACATCTCCACGGTATTCGTTATCACTCGTGATAAGCTTAGCAGCATCTGCTTTTAAATTCTCAAGCTTCTCGCTCTGTTTTCGCACCGTCTCTTCGAATGCATCATGTGATTTGATGAGCATCTGAAGTGAATACATGAAATATGCTGAACAAATCCACAACGTATTTTTGAACTATATCTATTTAAAAAAACACTCCAACTTTTTTGCTTCTCTCCATTTCCATAAAAAGTCAGTCTTGAAAAAGAATGGAAAGTGTTCAGAATCCCACCTGAACAACATCAGGGGCGTCACCGATATCTCCTTGTTTGAGAAGATTTTCTTTGTCTGCAAGCCATCTTTCGCACATCGCGGCCTGGTCACACCACTGCAGCCATTCCAGCATGCGTTGGAGGGAGGCCTAAAAATTTCATCACTACTTTTCAGACTTGGGTCAGACTTACTAATGGTGAACAGTTTCTATACACAATCCGCTCACTTTCTCTGCTTCCCATGTCTGTCTCAGTTGATGTTCAGAGTTCTGAACGCGCTTGTGGGCGCGCTGCACCTCCGGTTTATGCTCTGGCTGTTCCGAGATAAGTCGTTGCCCCTCATCATGCAGCACATGAAGCTCATCCTTAAAGAACCAATTGAAAGCCTAAGATTCATACAGCATAGCTTCTCATCGCAAATCGCACCTGGCGACCGTCGATTTCGGCTCGACGTTCAGCATGTTGTGCAATTAGCTGCTCAGCTTCAGCGCTCGTCTTTGGCTGCTGGTACGACGTCATTTTGTTCCGAAGTTGTGCCGCCCACTGTTCTGCCTTCTTTACTTGGTCGATGTACTTGTAGAGCTTGTATCTTAAAAATGAGAGACACATTATGTTTACAGAGTAGCAAAAATAGAAACTAGTGTTGATTCGCACATGTAAACCTTCAGTTATAACAGGAAGCAAATATTAAATAAAATGAATATTATTATGAACTCACGATTTATCCAAATTTTCATTTCGCAATTCAGCTGCTTGGCTCAGTTCCTTCCAGCTTTCTTCCAGCTTTTTCAAGGAATCCAAGATAGTGTGCTTCAGTGGTGGTTTCTAAACGAATCACATACTCTTGCTAATAGAGAAACATGAAGACAGAAAATAGTAGAAAGCAAAACAACAAACAACCACGAAAAGAGACAAAGAAGACGCAAGAACTACCTTAGCAAGAATATTCTGAGCATCTTTATCGTGAGCAATGAGCTTTTGATGGATAGCACTCATATCACGCTCGAGAGCAGTCTGCTTTCGTAACAGCGCATCAACTCTGAAATCAAACTTTTTAGATAGTTCAGTCGCGCTTTGAATAGTGTTGATCGAATAAGAGGGGCAATCTGCAGTCAGCTTCGAAATGTTGAAAAGAGGCCGCTACGAAACTTGGCGCCGAACACTTTCATTATCATTCACAATGTTTTCTACCCTAACTTCTTCAATCAAAATAATGTAATCACTCACGTCGCAAAATCTCTTCCATAGTCGTCGCTTCGCATTGCAGCAATCTTCTCATGGATTCTCTCGTTTAGTATCGTATAACTTCGTATTGAATGCATTGAACCTCCAGGGCAGCGGCGAGTTCACGTCGGTATGCTGCTAGTTTTCCGTGGAGAGAATTCCATGTATGGTTCAAATTCTGCTGTTGCTGTTGCACTTCTTCACGGCTGGTTCTTCCTTGTCCAATCAGTTTTTCGCCAAGACGATTGATTTGTTCGAGCGTCTGCTCATCCACTGACGAGTCCGCCTTGGTGCCGTCAAGTCTTGAAAAGTTGCAACATATTGAAAAGAATAAACTGAGCAAAAGCCAAATCTTGAAGAAGCAAAAATCCACACAACATACCGGTCAATCAACAGTTTGCAGTGTTCTAGGTCGCGTCCCATTTCTCCTGCAGTCACCATCAACTCTCGCTCATGAGCCCACGACATCACACGATCAACCTTAATCCAGGGTAAAAATTTCTTAGAAGTAAAACACACACTTCCACAGAGAACAACTGAAACCATTGGACTACAAATATTTGAAAATACTATGAAACTGACCAACTGCCTGAACGTAAGCAAATCTCTAGCTTCCTCCAAGGCACGTGACTGCTCAGCGCAAGCTTCTACAAGAGTCATCCAACGACTGTATAGACCATCACAACGAGAAGTAATCTACAAATATATATTATTCATGTTCACACTCACACGGCTCTCCGTTCATGGACTTCTCTGAAAAATCATCAAAATCAAAAATCAGAAGAAAAATATTCGCAGTGTTGAAGCGACTCACCCCTGCATCTCTGTGCTTTGCATGAAGTTCTTTTCCTCTTTGGAGTACTTGATCGACACGATTTCGATTTCGCCGCTAATTCTGCTTCGAGAGCCTGATGTTTCTGGAGACGTTTCATCTTGTCCTCGATCGAACTGCACTGTCCTTGGCGCTCTTTTTCGAGTCGAATTCTAAAAAAACTTCGAGTTTGGATCAAAGTAAATCACAGTCACAAGCAAGAAGAGTGGAGTGACAGCATTCAGGTACAACACTTAACAAAACAATAACGAACCCTTTGAGCTTTTCGTCAATCCACGCTTCGGTATCAGCCACATCGCGATCAAACGCTGCCACCATGAATGCGTCATTAAGAACCAGGGATCTTTGTTCAACATCGCGATGTAGAGTGACAGAGCATCATGAACCTTGAACAAGATGTTGGAAAAATTATTCATTTGAACATTTCATAAAGATCTTATAATAACTTTGGGAGAATTATTGATTTTAATGGTACTCAAAGTGATCCACCTATCAGAAGCACAAACTAAAATAGATAAAATGGATACTCACCTTTTTCCTAGACAACTCGATGTTGTTCTTTTTCCATGTGGTTGTTTGCAATCAGTTCGTTCGCGGTACGATCAAGGTAACTGAATTTCTTCGTTGAATAATAGTAAAAGTTGTTAGTAAGATTTGGCGTTTTAACAAGCTAATCAATTACCTTAGTCCTCTCGTCCAAGGTCGATAATGCCTTTGCGAACGTATCTAAACGTTTCTTCTGGCCTTCCACATCAGCAACACTACCTCCAACCGCCAGCTGTCTGAAGTTGACTAATCGTAACATTATCACAAGAAAGCGGCGCAAAAAATTTCAGGCTAGCATCAGCAAGCTTCATCTTTCACCATATTACAGCCATACTTACCGCAACGTTGCTCTTTTACTGGCGATCAGAGTAAGAATCTGATTTGCTTCCTGTTGAAGAGCATGCCATTGCACCAACTGGACCAGATAACTGTCACGAAGATCCCATTCAGATCGAAGACGATCAAATGCAGTATTAACCTGAACAGCACGCTATAAAATGAATTGAGAGGTTGGTGGCAGTGGAACGGATTTACTCGTGCATCACTCATCTACTAGAATGTGCGCTGCAACAACTGAAACAATGTCGAGGGACAAAAGAATAAATTTAGGGGGCTGCAAATATTTATGTTGGAGTTCAAGAAGTACGAGCTGGACATGAACAACAGAAGTAACCCTCAGTGCTGAACAACATTATGATCTCACCTGATGAACTTTCTTGGCAATGTTATGCGAGTCAAAATGTCCTCGCTGGATCATCGCCTCACCAGACTGCTTCACCTTCTCGAATTCAGGAGCTCGCGCTGTAATTTCACCGCGAAGACGAGAGTGCTCCTTCTGAAGTCCTTCGGCCTGTTGTAAACCATTAACCTAAATATTTTGGTTTGAAAAACCGAACATAAGAATCATCTAATCTCTTCTAAGACAAACCTGCATCTCCGACTGCATGTCAGCAATCGTAATATCAGCCCATGCGAGGAGATCTCGAACGTCAGCATTGAAACTAAAACGTACAGTGCTATGCGACCAGAGCTATGTCATCACGAAAAAATTAGTCTGTGTCGTCAAGAAAATACTTAGATATTTGAGCTTCTGACGAGTCCCTATGCGATTTTTATAATTTGTTACTCAGATTGAAAATGAGTTGATGTGTTAATATCCCAGGACTGGGATATTAACTCTCGCAGAGAACATGACTCTACTGAAGCTAGGTTAGGATTCATTAATAACTACTGCCTTACCGATGCATATCTCTAGCAGCGCGCAGCTCATCTCGCCTATCATCAATAGCATGGAGCAACTCCTGCCAGCTCTCGGCTAGTTCCACTTGTTGCTGAGCAATGTGTTCAGCATTTCCTCCCGGATACGCTTCTTTTAGGCGAGCTGACTCTGCCAGAAGTTTCTGCAAAAAGCCATTTTCAAACGAAAAATGAACCTCGTAGAAAAAAAAAACAGACGCTACTGGAACATTTAGCAAAGCTTATTTGTTTCGATTTGTTCATCCCCTCGTTGAAGAAATCAAAGAAACGCTTTGCAGAAAAAATTCTTTGT